ATGAGCGCTCTATATATATATATATATATATATATATATATATATATATATATCCTTTCTTTTTTTACATTTTTTCCATGTTTGAAGATTATTTGGGCCAATGGCCCATAACAAGCCCACTAATTTTTGAATTATTGGCCCAATATGCACCACATCAAAAAAATAGTAAGAGGGCCACAGGAAAAAAATCTCTGATATTTTTGTTCGCATTCGCAATTATTTTTGTACGTTTTCCCACAGCCAAAAGAAAAAAGAAAAAAATCCACGACAAAAAAAGAAAATAAATCCACGATAATTCTACAGTTGGTAAGCTATGACTACAGATGTTGCCATTTCTGGGTCACGTGATCTGCATGGCGTCTAAATGCATGCACGTGGCGACCAAACCAAGACCCATGTAATTCGGTTAATAAGGTAATATAACCCATAATCCCATCTGATATAGAAACGAAACGTCACGGATTTTCTAAAAACGTAAGAAATTGAATTCGAAACGAACCATAATAAATAAAAATAAAAATATCTGAAAAATCAAACTTAAAAAACGATTAATTCTATTAATAAAAATTAAAAACCGTTCAATTTCTTGATTAGATGGAGATTATATATTCGACCGTTACCAAACTTCTCAATCCCCCGTCTCTATATATATGTACGTTTTCGCACCCAAACAATATAACAAAACAAAACATCAACACCCAACAGAGCAAGAGAGAGAAAAAAGTATTCAGAGCGATGATGAAGAACACAAGCGCAATGTTCATGGCATTGGCGACGCTGTTGCTGCTACAAACGGCGGCGTTGACGGAAGCGGTGTGCGACCCGACGGAGCTATCGCCGTGCCTGACGGCGGGGAGACCGGGAACCATTCCGCCGCCGGAATGCTGCAACAAGCTGAAGGAGCAAGAGCCTTGCCTCTGCGGTTACGCCAAGAACCCTGATCTCATTAAATACGTCAACTCTCCTTACGCTCGTAATGTCTTCGTCGGATGCAATCTTCCTTTCCCTAAATGTTGATTTCATTCCACTTTGATTTTTATTTTACGATGATACAATTATCATTAACATATATATATGTAACGCCATGATATGTTATAAATAAAGTATCTCGTTCAATATCGAATGAAATGTGTCTTCTTCTTTTTTTAGCATAAATTACAATATACGTCATTAGGTAGAATTTTCTTAGAAAAATAGTATTGCATTTTATACTTTTTAAATTTGGATTGAAAATATCATATCATATTCCTAATTTCGGTAATAAATGTGAATGTTGTAACCTGTATTTATGGACCGGCCCTATGTGCCCCTTCCAACAGCAGAAACTACGAAATTTTGATTGCATCGACCACGTGTACTTTTGAATTAAATTATTTGTCGCCATGGCCATGCTAAATCATTATTTTCCATATAATATAATATTGAATAATTTGATTATTTCTATTCATTCATCTAAGATCGAATTTTATAATTACATATTTAAATAACTTTATCAAAACATAATATATGTATACAAATATTTCATATTTCAAAAGTAAAATGATAATTACCATAAATTCTATAGTTTTGGAATTTGCCACGTCAGCGATGGCCCGCCTTAGAACGAGCCTTACCTCCCAGGGTAAGCAGCTTCACTCCTCCATGTGTCACACAACTCCTCGAATGCTTTTATTTCATTTGTGGCACATAAATATTATTTTATTTTACATTTCTCCACACGTTTTAAAATGTTACAGCTTCATGCCATTTTTAACTCTTCGTCTTAATAGGAGCATGTAATATCGTGGGATTTAGTTATACATGGCGAAACGTTTTGTGTGAGTTTTTTTATTTTAAACTAAATTTGTTTTTTCTTCAAAACATTTCATTTTATTCTATTTCAAACAAATATAAATGAAAGAAATCGAATGGTTCTACTATTTGTTGTACAAAAAATATTACTAAAATTTTTATATTCTATTCCATCAGAATCTACAACAAAACACTAACTCCAGCCATATAAAATATTAATATGCATTTCGATTGTTGGGTAATTTCTTTTGAGGGGGTTTATATCTATTTTCAAAAGTTAAGGCACAATTTAATAAATGTAAAATTCTAGTGTTAGGAGCTTCAATTATGCCCTTAGATTTATCATTTTGAAGACTGATTTTACCTTTAATGATTACCACTTTATTTTCTCTAATACAAAATCTTATGGAACAATTAGATATCTTGTGGAATTTTGGGTCTAATGGCCCATAACAGGCCCAATGAGAAATGTATGATTGGCCCAATATGTACCGCTGTGGGCCTATTAAGGTGCATTTTCCTAGTCGTCTATCTTTCCCACCGCCGAAAAAGGAAAAAAAAATCCCACGACGAAAAAAAAAAACGTAAAAATAGATTTCGAAACAAACATTAATAGATAAAAATAATCTGAAAAAAAAATCAAACATCTTAGGAACACGATAATTTCTATCAATAAAAACCGTTCAGTTTCTTTATCAGACAGGAATCATATATTCGGCCGTTACCAAACTCCCCCACCCCGTCTCTATATATACATACATTTTCGCACCCAATCAACACAACGACAACAAAAAAACAAAACATAGCCCAACGATGAAGAACGCAGGCGCGATAATGTTCGTGGCGTTGGTGGTGCTGCTGCTGCAGACGGCGGCTTTGACGGAAGCGGCGTGCGATCCGACGGAGCTGACGCCGTGCCTGACGGCGGGGAGGCCGGGAACCGTCCCGCCGCCCGAGTGCTGCGTCAAGCTGAAGGAGCAAGAGCCTTGCCTCTGCGGCTACGCCAAGAACCCCGGCCTCATCAAATACGTCAACTCTCCTTACGCTCGTAACGTCTTCCTCGGATGCAATCTCCCTTTCCCTCAATGCTGATTTCGTTCCCACTTTTGATTTAGTTTTACGATGACACACCAATTATCCTTGATACATACCCGGCGGAGCCGCCGCCGTGCCTGCCGGCGGGGAGGCCGGGAACCGTCCCGCCGCCCGAGTGCTGCGTCAAGCTGAAGGAGCAAGAGCCTTGCCTCTGCGGCTACGCCAAGAACCCCGGCCTCATCAAATACGTCAACTCTCCTTACGCTCGTAACGTCTTCCTCGGATGCAATCTCCCTTTCCCTCAATGCTGATTTCGTTCCCACTTTTGATTTAGTTTTACGATGACACACCAATTATCCTTGATACATATATATATATACATATATATATATATATATAACGTCATGTGATGTTATAAATAAAGTATCTCGTTGAAGATTGAATGAAATGTGTCCGCCGTTTCTTTTGTTGTTTAGTATGAATTACAATACAATATAGGAAATAATTCCTAATCCTGGTTCCGAGCCAATATGGATATATTTGGGCCAAAGAATCATCCTAATATAAAAGAAAATGTATGTTTTTTTTTATAATTTTGTTGATTTGGAATAGGAAAGAGGTCAAGTTTACAAGTTGATGCCATTTAAAAATTATTTTTTATTACAAATATGCAAGTTGAGCATTTTTTTTTCTCCAGATTTATTAATTTCAATATATTTGATAGATATTCTTCTTTATTGTTACATATTTTTTTTCATCTTTAAAACACTACTGGGCTCAAAAGCCCATTATAAGTTTCGTTTAGAATTATTAGGTCCAACATGTACGACTTCAAAAGGTAACAAGGCTCAATGAATGTGCTACTAACCATTTGTAGAAACAAATCACGATAATAGATTCCCACGGCCGAAAAAGGACACATGTAAAGCCAAGTCTCCCTGTCCTAATTTGTTATTTATTTATTTATTTATTTCATTTTTTATATTGAAATTTTCATCCTTAACCCCATCTTTATTTATCTATATATACACACATTTTCACACCCAAAAAATAGAAGAAAACAAAACTTAAACTCAATAGAGGGAAAAAAAAAAGAGTTTTTAAAGCCATGAAGACCGCTGCCGTAATGTTCGTCGTACTCGCAGCGCTGCTGCTGATCCAAACGGCGCCGTCGATGGAATTCGTGTGCAGTACGCCGGAGCTGATGTCGTGTGTGCCGGCGATAACCGCCCAAAGCATGCCGACAGCGGAATGTTGCGCTAACCTCAATGACTGCCTCTGCGTATTCATTAGGACACCAGTCAATAGAAAATACGTAACCGGTCCTAAGATTGTTAAATTCTTCCAAAACTGCGGTATTCCTATGCCTCAATGCTGAAACCTTGTCATTTAATGCATTTTAAAATAAAAATAATTATCATTAATATTGTAATGGCGAAATAATGAAAGTATTTCGTTCATGATTGAATAAATACGTTATGCGTGTCCTCTCAATTATCCAAAATATAATATGATTTGGATTTAGATGTCCACAACTAGCAATATATGTTATTAGATAAAATTAAAATTTTAAAATAGTTTTATAATTTGTAAATATATTTTATTTGGCTTAAAAATATCAGAATTATTTTATTTGCAATTGGGCTTCCGAATTTCTGACACCATCATATACGGAGTGTGCAAGAAATTGATGAGAATATCATCCGAAAAGAATAAATGAACGTGTTGAAATTTCAGTAATTATTGTTTGAAATTATGTAGATTCGTGTATAAAGATCTTGCTGATTAACAACTCAAACTCAAGTGTTGTGTGTTATAACAAAAAGCACATACAATCATATAAATATAAACAATAAAAAACAAACATATATACATTCATATAGATATATATACACATTCTTATACATATATTCTAAGTTAGAATATTTGTACGCATTTGTTTAAACGTAAACAGATGTAGTCATACCTATATACACACGTGCGTACATGCATGTATCACCACATCAAATATTACTATTGAGCCCAAAAATTCATGACAGGGCCTATTAAAAATAATACTATTGAGTTCAGTGGGTACCACATCAAATATTATTTAGGGCCGATTAATTAATGTAAGATTAGTAGTTGATTAATTAAATGTCTGGAGTAGAATATTTGAAGATTTTTGGGTCCAATGGCCCATAATAGGCCCAATATGTACCGCTGTGGCCCAATTAAGGTGCATTTCGTATCACCGAAAAAGGAAAAGATTATCTTGGAGGGAAAAAATCGCGATATTTTTTTGTACATATTCTCACTGCCAAAAAAAAGAAAAAAAAAATCTAGTTTTACGATGTTGCCATTTCTGGGTCACGTGATCTGCATGGCGTCTGAACGCATACGGCTGGTAAACTAAACGTCACGAGTTTTCTGTAGAAACGCAACGCAAGAAAAGAATTCGAAAGCGAAACAAACCGTAACGATCATTTCTATTAATAAAAACCATTCAATTTCTTTATTAGATAGAAATCATATATTCCACCGTTACCAAACTCCTCAGTCCCATCCCTATATATACTACATTTTAATTTAGTTTTACGATGATATAATTATCCTTAATATATATATATATATATATATATATATATATATGTAACATCATATGATGTTATAAATAAAATATCTCGTGGAAGATTGAATGAAGTGTGTCTGCCTTTTATTTTATTGTTTAGTATGGATTACACCATAGTGTTCTCTTACTTGTCCGGAATATAATGCGATTTTATATTGAGATGTCACCATTTACAGTATACGTTGGTATATCGATTTACGTTGATGTATCAATCTACGTAGGATTATCGACCATATATAATACAGGGAATATTTCCTAATCCCGGTAATAAACGTGAATGCTATAACCTGTATTTATGGACCGACCCCATGTGTCCCCTCCCATCGACGACGTGTACTTTTGAATTAAATTATTTGTCGCCAGATTTTGTTATATGCTAAATCACCATTTTTCCATATAATATAATATTGAATAATTTGCTTATTTCTATTCATTCATCTAAGATCGAATTTTATGATTATATATTTAAGTAAATTGATCTAAACATAATATGTGTATATAAATATTTCATATTTCAAAAGTAAAATGATATTCACAAACCATAAATTCCCTAGTTTTGGAATTTGCCACGTCAGCGATGGCCCGCCTTAGAACGAGCCTTCCCAGGATAAGCACCTCCACACTCCTCCAGGTGTCACAAGAGTCCTCGAATGCTTTTATTTCATTTTTGGCACATAAATATCATTTTATTTCACATTTCTCCATACATTTTAAAATGTCACAGTTTCATACCATTTTTAACTCTTTTTCTTAATAGGAGCATGTAATATCGTGGGGTTTAGTTAAATATAGCGAAACGTTTGATGGCGATTTTTTTATTTTAAACTAAATTTGTTTTTTCTTCAAAAAATTTCATTTTCAAACAAATATAAATGAAAGAAATCGAATGGTTTCTATTATTTGTTGCGCAAAAAATATTACTATTTTTTTTTATATTCTATTCAATCAGAATCTACAATTAGCATAAAAATACTAATATGCATTTAGATATAGTTGGGTAATTTCTTTTGAGGGGGTTTATACCTATTTTCAAAAGTTAAGGCACAATTTCACAAATTTAAAATTCTAGTGTCAGGAGCTTCAATTATGCCCTTATATTTATCATTTGAAGACTGATTTTTACCTTTAATGATTACCACTTTAATTTCTCTAATACAAAATCTAATGGAACAATTATAACCACAAACCGATTTAAAGTAATTAACTTTAAATATATATTAATATATGTTAATAAAGTGGGATTTTGAAATCCTAAAGGGCAATTAATAGGATTTAAGTGGTCGAAGGGTATCTGAGGAAGTTGCTAACCAGACACGGCGGCCAGTGAACGTTCCTCTATAGTTTCACTAAAAACAAGAAATAAGAGTAAAAGCAAATCTTATAGTTTTCATTGCATTTATTTTTATAAATTTGAAAATTAAAATTATAATTCTAATTATACAACATTGTCAGTGATTTAATTAGAGAGCGTAGAAAAGATAGATTCCGAAACCCCCACTCAAAAGTCCTCAAATGCTCCACGTTATATAATACATATATATACACACGCACAACAATGTATATTATATTAAATATTTTATTTCAGAAATAACAAAAAAAAATCTTATTTCCTTGGGTAAAAAAAAGACCATGTTATTTAATTCTTGATATAATCTATAATTCCAACGAACTAATCATTCACAGATTAAAACAAAAACTCATATGATAGTTCATAAATATTTTTGAGAAAAAAAAAAGATAAATATGTTGGAATTTTCTGTATATTTTTTTTTTAAAATCTTACGGTATACATATGGATGAATAATTGTCACACAAAAAAATCCAATTTAAGCCGTATTCACAATACTTAAATAGCTTAGCCAAAATATAAACAAGATTTACCTGTGTGGTTGTGGTAGTCTAATCTTAGTTATATGCCTACGTGGAAAGGGGTTAGCAGTTAATTAAGAATTAATACGTAATTAGTGGCAGAAAAAAAAAAAAAGGAAATCCAAATCGGCTTCGGCCTCCTCCCTCTTCTTCCGCACTATAAATACCGCGTTCCTCTCACTCGAGAAAAACTCAGGAACGTTTCGTTGCGTCTCAAAGTCACATCGGATCCATCACATAACGTTTTCGCCAACGTTAATCTCTCCTTTTTGTTCATCCATTTGTCGAGTTTGTTTTTGGGTAATTTTGATTCAGAACGCAAAGCGGTAATGGAGAATTCTCTCGTCAATGATCTCTCCCAGATCCTCCCTCGCGTTCTCGTCGTCTCTAGACGCACCGTCCGCAAGAACAAATTCGTCGATTTCGTTGGTAAATCCCTTGTTTTTTTCTCATGAACAAATTCGTCGATTTCGTATGTATGAGAACACAGTACTTTTGTTTGTTCGTGCGTTAGTTTGGTTCGAGTGCATGGTTCTGATTTGGGCTAGATTTCGAGACGTGGGTGTTTTCCACATCTTTGAAATCATGTGTATTTCATGAATGTTCTTCAGATTTCGTTTCGCATTTTGCCTCTGTTTTCTGCAGATTTTTGTGGGATTTCTCCTTCTCTGACTGTTTATGAAATCAGATGTTTGTATATTTCAATGATACGTGTGTTTTTATTGTCTCCTGGGTTCAACTTTTCTTCGAATTTATTGGCTTCCTCTGTGGATGTTCATGTATTCTCAAGATTTTTACCTCTTCAAATTTATAAACTTTCCTTTTCATGGGTTAGGTTCTGTAGCTGCGTATATGTTCTCGTTGCTTATGCACATACACAAAAAACATTGTTCATTTGGATGTGGAGCTGAAATAATATTCATGTTTTTCCAATTGGGATCTTTTCCTCGGAGAACAGAGTTTTCAATCTCTGGTTGATGCATTCATTCACAGGAATTTTTGTTAAATTTGATCAGGCGAGTATCATCTTGATCTCATAGTCCGGTACGGTGCCGTGCCGGTGATTGTTCCACGGGTAAGTGGTGTCCACATGTTGCTGGAGAGCTTCAAGCCCATCCATGGAGTCCTCCTCTGCGAAGGAGAAGACATTGACCCTTCTCTTTACGAGTCCGAGATATCGTCTCTTTCGCCGGAAGAACTCGAAGAGATCCGTAAAACACACTCGAGCGACACAGCCATTGACAAGGAGAAAGACTCTATCGAGCTAAGGCTTGCCAAGCTCTGTCTCGAACAGAACATTCCTTACTTGGGAATCTGCAGAGGGTCACAGGTAATTCTGTTTTTCTCGAGTTCAGTTTTGGTTTCTTGTCAGAGACATTGGCTAAATGTCGTGATGAAACTTGCAGATCCTAAACGTTGCTTGTGGTGGAACCCTTTACTTGGACTTGGAGAAAGAGCTTACGAACAAGCTTCCCCATGAACGTAGAACCAAACATATCGATTACGAAAACTATGATGGGTATAGACATGTTGTCCGAATCGTAGAGAACAGTCCTCTGCATACATGGTTCAAAGATTCCTTTGATGGTGAAAAGATGGAGATTTTGGTCAATAGTTATCACCATCAAGGTGTCAAGAGACTGGCTCAGAGGTTTGTGCCTATGGCATTTGCTCCCGATGGATTGATCGAAGGGTTTTATGATCCCGATGCTTACGACCCAGAAGAGGGCAAGTTCATCATGGGATTGCAGTTTCATCCAGAGAGAATGAGACAACAAGATGTGGATGAGTTCGATTACCCTGGTTGTCCTGCTGCATATCAGGTTTGTGTTCTTGAACTGAAAATTTTACTTTTGCTGTCTTTTTTATAGATTGAGTATGTGTTCTTGTGTGATCGGTATTGCAGGAATTTGCGAAAGCCGTGATCGCGTATCAGAAGAAGCTGAATAGTTCGTTGTCTGTGCCAAAGCCGCTGAAACTTGATCTAGCAATGGAGAACAAAAGAAAGATTCTAGTTCAGAGTTTTTCGCTTGCAAAGTACATGTACACCAAAGGGTCGGAGAAGAACCCATCCAAAGAGTCAGAACTGGAAGTTGGCGCCGAATTTCTCGAGGTAGATACCATGATTTCAAGTTTACATAACACAAATATTGCACGAGAGAAAGGGTCAGGTGAACTTATACGGCCTTTCGCCATCCTAAGGGCTTTCACATAGCCAAAAAAGTCGGTTCTTTTGCCATACAAACTATTTCTAGTCTTCATTATAGTGGGGGTAAGGTGGTGACCCTCCATCTTTATTAGCATTGGATCAAATCCAATCTAGAGTTTTTTAGTGCCTGGTAGATGATAAAGCTCGGCCCTTGAGGATGTAAAAGAGAAGTGAACAAATACAAAAGCATTTGATGAGCTTAAATGCCATTGATGATGAGAATATTATGCAGTATAACACGGCTCTGAGCAAGGAGCAAGAGACGAGGCTGAAGGAGATGGGGGCGACGGTAAGGAATGGAGGGTCGTACATGAGGAAGAAGAAGCTGGACGAGGAGAGGCAGAGGATGGCGAGGAACATAATGAGCAAAATGACTGTGGAGAGGCTATCAGAGCTCATGGCTTTCTACCACTTGATGGGCAATCTCTGTGGTGAGGTCTTGGAGAGAAAGCTCCATGACATTGTCAATGATGTTAGCTCTTAATTACATTGTGAAAAGATGATTCTAGTGATTAATTTTATGATGATGGTGATGGTGATGATGTGATGGGTGTTTAGGGTTTTTTGTGTAAGAAAGGTGTCATTTATGGGCAATTGCCAAAAAAGTTGGTTAATTGGAATAAGATATGGAATTCTGTAGATGATGATGGTTCAGTATGAATGTTCTACTATTTGGAACGTGAATATATATTTTGGGCCAAAAAAATAGTTTGCTATTTGGCACCGGAGAATACGGTTAGGTTACCGTTGGACTGGGAAAAACCAGTGAACCGAACCGTGGATAAATTGATCTTAATTAATTAATTATTATTTTTTGGATACTCGAATCCGGATTGAGAGAAAGTTTTGCTTCTTTTTTTAGGGATTGAACCACACCATCTTTAGATTAATTAATTAATATTTATTAATGGGTTAATATCCTTCTAATTAAATATGTATATTATATATATCCTAATAGTGTCTCAATATGTAAATCTTAATTAATTAGCAATCGAATACAGTCTAATACACTAATAAGATTTTTGCGAAGTATATTGGAGATATTTTTAAGTGCTTATTCTATTATTCAAATAAGAGAATTTTTTTCTCTCTCTATTTTCATATTGTAGGTGTGAGGAATTATTGTAATTCAGCTAGGAGAAAAACTGAACCAAGCAATCCGGTTCGGTTCCCGGTTCGACCGGAAAGAACAGTAAACCGGACCATGAATGGCCGACCAAGAGACTGTGACAACACAGAAGAAATAATAAACTCGTGCCACACAGTACACGCACACGTCCGTCACTCAAAACCTGCAAAGAAATCCATCCACTTCATTTTTTCATTCACATTTTCATTGTCTTTTTGTGTTTTTTTCCTCCGTCCATAATTATAACCAAATTTCTTCGGCCCCGTCCTCAGATTCATTCGGTCGTCTTTTTCCTAATCATTTTTCTAATTTATCAAAGAATTTTCCATATCTTTGAAAGTCAACTAACGGATAGGAAATAGATATTCCTAAAATTTCCTTAGTAATATATTATACATAATATATATATATATATATATATAATTTCCTCTCCACTTGACTTGGTCCTCATTGTCCTTTAACTTATCTTCTTTACTTTTGTCTAATCCCTTCACTGCTCTGACAAACCAAACACTGAAAACAACAGATTTCAGATCAGAAACATGGATTCTCCGGCAACAATCGTGTTCTCAAAACCTGGGTCCTGTCTGGTTTTGCTGTTTCTGTTCCTGATTCACTCTTTTCCTTGCGCACTAAGTCACCGGGAAACCAGGTTGTGTGGCCGGAGATTCCAGTGCGGGAACATCACGGCCGGTTTCCCCTTCTCCGGAGGAGATCGCAATATAGTCTGCGGTCATCCGTTGCTGAATCTTCAATGCAACAGAGATTCGAACACGACCATGTTAGAGATATCAGGTTTCATATACAATGTTCTGCAACTGGATAGCAAATCCAACACTCTAAGACTTGTCAGAGAAGAGAAGTCAGAGTCTTTCTCTGTCTGCTCGGGTCGATTTCCCAACACAACGTTGCCGCCTGAGCTCTTTGAGCGTTTACCGAGTTACAAAGATCTTTCGGTTTTCTACAGGTGTGACCATAAGCTCCATTACCTCAACAATTCTGAATGTCCATGGAATGGGTTTGGCTCAGTGTATCAGAGATCTTGCCATGAAGCTCTCAATGTGACAGTTCCTGTCAGTTTCTTTTCAGACAAGAAATCTTGGAGTCTGACTCACCTGGAGAGTGTTCTGAAAGAAGGGTTTGAGGTGAAGGTGACGATCGACGAAGGAAAGTGTCGGAACTGTTCATCATCTGGTGGAACCTGTATTTTCCGTAATGATGTTCAGCTTTGTTGCAAGGAGATTTCGTCGTCGGGATTGGAATGCGGTCTGACCAATCCATCTGAAGGTAAGTTTCTGATTCTAGACTCATCAACTGGTTCTTCATGCGTGTGCTTGCCTTCTCTGATCATTCAGGGAATAGATGATTATGGCAAAGGAATCAAACCCTTTTCCTGAAATTTTGTGAAACCAATGTGGCAGATGAATCAGCGTAGAATTTATACCTTCTAACATATGCAGGATGTTGAACTCAGATACCCGTTTCGAGATTTTTTCACTGCAGATGATCAAAAGATTCAAAACATGTAAAAATTATAAGTAGGAGATAAACAGAATTCAGTATTGCTGGTTTTTTCGTAACAGTGCGAGCAAAAGTAGATAGAATTGTACTCTGATGGACAATGTGGTAAGTCAGTTGAAACCTGCTTTGGTTGCACCTTAAAATGGATAAACTTTAGCAGTTGAATCTTTTGCTGTTTCCACCTAATTGGGCATAAAATAAAACAATTCCACAGACTCGCTTTCGGGGTTGCAGAAGTAGTCCTCTGCATTAGTTACCCTGTCTCTTTCATGCATTCAACCTCGTCTCTGTGTTCCTCTTCTTCTTCTTCTTCTTCTTCTTCTTCTTCTTCTTCTTCATTGTAGCTGTCCATTGCACTTTCTTCTTCTCCATCAACATTTTCACAATCTTCTGAAACATTTTTCATGCCCTGAAAATTCTTGAAGCAGAGAGAGGGAGAGAAAGAGAGAGGTGTCTAACCTCTGTCGTGATTTTAGTCCAAGTTCCAAATGGTCAAGTTAGATTAGGAATCTGTAGACTTTTTCCGAGAAAGTTCATGGTCTCTGGTTTGGAAGATTAACTCTTGGAAAACCAGGCTTTAAGACCAAGAACCAACCATTCACCTGCTCCTGTCTCTCTTCTTCTCATGCTTTATCTCCCCTCTCCATCTACAGGGCAAATACACGACCAATAACCATGAATCTGTCTCTCTCTCGGACAAAATCTTTATCCCATGTAGTCCTCTTTTTTATCTTTCTGATCCCATCTCGTGCGTTGTCTGTTGATGAACGCCACAGAATCTGCAGCACCCCTTTTCCATGTGGCAATCAGAACGATCTTTCATACCCCTTTTGGACAAAGGGAAGAGAAGATTGCGGTCCCCTGGGTTTCGAGGTCGACTGTCTCGGGGAATTCCCAGAGATTAACATCTCATCATCCGTCAAGCTACAAATCCGAGCGGTAGATTATTATTCCGGTACCATAACGTTCGCAAGAACGGATTATCTCAACACTCTGTGCCCGAGGAACCCTGAAAACATTACGATATCCAATGATATCTTCAACGGTTACGCTCCTGACACCGAGGTGATGACGTTATATTATGAGTGCAGCGATTTACCATCAGGGTTCACTCCAAATGGTTATGTCAGAGAGCTCGGTTGCAGTAATGATGATGGTAAAGGTTATTATGTGTCAAAGAACTTCACTTCCCCTGTTCTTGCTCCATTTAGTTCCTCATTAAACGAGCTCATCCGGTCCTGCAAACAAAGCGTCAACATTCCAGCGTCAGGGCCTGCATTAATCGAGTTAGACAGGAATCTGACCCGGGGAAATCTACAGAAAGCTCTAAGTGAAGGTTTTCAGGTTACGCTGAAAAAGGACTGTGAGAAATGTATATATTCTAACGGCTCTTGCGGATATAACCACAGCCTCGGAGGATTCGTCTGCTATTGTACAGATAAACCGCATCGGCATACTTGCGGTTCAAAAAGTAAGGGCTTATCTTCTTTTTCCTCTGAATTTTTCTGATGTCCTTTGAAGATCAGCTCATATTCTGAATTCTGGTTTACGGTTTCTCGATTTTCCTTGGATCTTCCCACCAACCCACCATTCGAAACATCTCGGGGGATTTCTTCTGTCTGTCGTGATTTTTGTCTCCCCTCTTATGACAAAACTTGAAACTCCCTTGAGTTTGAACCTTACAGAGTTGTTTGTATCTTATGGAAATCTAACTTCAGGCTTGATTTCTTCATATATGTTTCGAGTTTTCTCTCGAATCCTTTCTGACTGACGTTGTCTCATGTTATCCACCGATGCAGCAGCGCTCTCACCCGGAAAGAGAATAGGTATTCATCGTTCTCTCCCAAACCCGATTTCATTACACGACACTGGCAACAACAACATAATCTGACTGAAGTAACTTATATTTCCTTTTGTCTCCAGGAATTGGAGTGGCTTGTGGATTGGTCGGCGGCTTACTCATAGCCGGAGTTGTGTTCTGTTTCATCCACCGACGAAGGAAGAAACTCTCTGCTCCAAACACCAGCAGAGACTTGCCGATAATGCATAGTTCGAACCAAGGAACCACAAACCCAGCCACTTCCATGACAATTTCCCGCCGAGGGCAATCTGTTCAGTCATCAAACTCGAATCTCGGTAATGGAAGCGTCTATTTCGGAGTTAAGGTCTTCAGTTACGAAGAACTCGAGGAAGCCACTGAGAATTTCTCTAAAGAGCTCGGTGATGGAGGCTTTGGCGTTGTCTACTACGGTAAAAAGAACACTAAAAGATCGCCTTTCTTCTTTTGGCAACATATCTTGATTTTCAGTGTCCATTTTGGATCAGAGTTTGTGTACATTCTTTGAAGGTGTGCTGAGAGACGGGCGAGAGGTAGCAGTTAAGCATCTGTACGAGAGGTCCCTGAAACGGGTGGAGCAGTTCAAGAACGAGATCGAGATCCTGAAATCGCTGAAGCATCCGAATCTGGTCATCCTCTATGGATGCACATCCAGACATAGCAGAGAGCTTCTCCTCGTCTATGAATACATCCCTAATGGCACCTTGGCTGATCACCTCCATGGCGACCGATCCAGAGCTCGCACTCTCCCATGGCCTGTCCGCCTAGAAATCGCCATAGAAACAGCCAGCGCCTTGTCCTACCTCCACGCCTCAGGTAGAAACCAAGTGGGCACAGATCGAATTTCCGAGTAAAATGCTTCAAACCCTAAACCTAAACTTGCTTAATCCCTATTTTAACTCCCCAGGAATCATTCACCGAGACGTCAAGACTACGAACATTCTCCTAGACAACAATTTCCAAGTCAAAGTCGCCGATTTCGGGATCTCGCGTTTGTTTCCGACAGATGCAACTCATGTCTCCACAGCTCCGCAGGGAACTCCAGGCTATGTCGATCCAGAATACTACCAATGTTACCGTCTCAACGAGAAGAGCGATGTCTACAGCTTCGGTGTCGTCCTCGCGGAACTGATCTCGTCGAAGGAAGCGGTCGACGTCAACAGACACCGACATGACGTCAACCTCGCGAACATGGCGGTATCCAGGGTCCAGAACTCTGCCCTTTCGGAGCTCGTGGACCCGGATCTGGGCTTCGAGAGGGACTTCGCCGTGCGGCGGATGGTGACGGCGACGGGGGAGCTCGCCTTCCGGTGCCTGCAAGAAGAGAGAGAGGTGAGGCCGTCGATGGACGAGGTCGTGGAGGTACTCAGACGGATCAAGAACGAGGAGAATAGCGAGCCGGCGGAGGTGGAGATCGGCGGTGGCGGTGGCGGCGGAGATGATGTTGGGTTGCTCAGTCACGGCGGTGCTCCGCCACCGATGTCGCCGGAGACTGATAAGCGGACGAACAGTTCGAAATCGAATACGACGGAGAGTTCTTTTTGAAGGGATTTGGAGGTTTTGTATATAATTAAGTTAATTAATTATACGGTTTTGTATTAATGAGGAAAAAATCGGCGATTATGGATCTAATTATGGTTTCGTGTGCGTATGATTTGATAGTTTAACTATTTTAATGTCACATAGAATCTGTACATCTCGTAGTTTTGGCTTCTAGTGACTCGAAATAAAGACGAGAATAATTTCAATTTTTGAGAAATGTTTGATATTTTTTTGGGAATTTAAAGTTAGTTAGCTAATAATAACTACAAAGTTTGAATAATTAAACGAGTAATTTATAAAGCTTTAAGCGTGATTTCAATGCATCTTTACACCATCATCATTATCACCAAGCATAAATCCAAACTTCTCTGGTGTTGCCACGTGTAATCTATCTTCGTCAACATTCCTAGTCACCTTATTCCCTCTCGCCCCCCACGAAGACTCGGACGAAGCAAAGAATCGCTCAAAAAAACGCAGAGAAAAGAAGAAAATTTCAGATTTAAATGGTTTCACTCTGCATAAAATTCGACGGAGAACCCTAGAGAGAGAGAGAGAGAGAGAGAGAGGAAGATCAAATCAATGGCGTCTCTGCAGAAATTCAAGGTCCTCGCTACTCGCTGCGGCACCGTCGCCGAGAGCCCGACTCGGAGCCCGGTGATCCACCTCCGCCGCAGGAAAACGCTGCGTATGCTACTCACCCGATCGTCCGATCGCCGGCAATTTTCCCATCGCAATGACTCGCCGGAGTTTAAGGGAGCGACAACGGCGGCAGGAGATTCGACGGATAGCGGCGGCGGCGGCGGTGGAGGGAAGAGGGAAAAGATCCGATCTCGCCGGAAACTGAAGGAGCTATTCGTGTCATCGCCGCCGTTTGAGGGGAGAGGAAGCGGCGGCGGCGGAACTTCGGAGGAGACGGAAGGGCTTTTACCGGTTAACGGCGACAGAGACGGAGGCGGCGGAGATGTCGGCTTGGCGGCTCGGCGTGCCGGCTTAAGGGGCTCGCTGAGGCCGGTATCTGCTACGTTACGGTATAGGTTACTTCGTAGAGCTTGGCGTCCCGTGCTTGTCACTATTCCTGAACAGTAAATAAATTCACAAATATTTTTAAAAAAGTAACATCAATTAGTCGATCTTATTTATTTATTCGCTTCTTTTTCCTGACATTTGTTCTCTTACTTTTTTAATTTTCGAAAATTACCTATTTGCATATCTTTAATATATATAAGATAGCCAATGGTTACAATTTTGCATATTAGCATAATAAACATAGTTTAAAAAAATCTAAATAATAAAGAATTCAAAAATACCTTGGATTTAGCACGAATACTGTTGGGCAAAATTGAATCAAGTACTTAACTTTGGAGCAAATGATATTCTATAATATCTTAATGATCAAATTGATACAAAACGATTATACGATGAAACATTCTTTTCTCCCGGGGTACTGAAACAATGTTGTCCCACATAGAGAGACATTTTAATTATTAAGTTTTCTAAATTTAGGAATATTAAATTCATAAAGACTGATACCATGAAATCTATTTGGGTTCCTTGCTGAACAATCAAAGTAGCGTAGAGGTTTGGGCTGTAGATTATAGTTTTATAACATATGAAATTTAAATAAAAATAAAAATAAACACGAGTTCTGGCCTCTTTTTGTCGTGCTCATCCATTTCTGGATATGCCACGATATATCGATGAGGCCCGTAAAATAAATAAATATAATACAGAATTCAAAAAATGTGTTACTTCATTTTTTTGCTTAAAAAACTATATTTTTATTATTGCAATATTTTGATAGAACGGCCGACGTCCTTATCCCCTTTAGCTTTTGCATTATGGTGGGGGCATTGTGCACACTGCATTAATACTCACAATAAATTAGATACAAAAAGAATCTAAAAAATTATTTCGTATTCGAGATTGAATAACGAATTACTATTTAACTATTATAGTTATAAATTGTAACCATTATATATATATATATATATATATAATTTATAGTTAATCATATTATATTTGTTATGAATGACATTGTTCAGCCATATCGTATTTATAAATTATAGTAAGTGTACATTGATAACATTTTTATGGGATATATTTTATGTAATAAACTCTTAAATAAATTCGATAAAACTTAATTATTTTCAACTGCAATCCTCTTTGACTTTGTGAAGAAAACAAATTACTATTTTATTTTTTTTTTCTACGGAGAAAATGTAAATGAAAACTTAGTGAAAAATCATATTAATTTACGTGGTAATAATTTTTTTTAAAATTAATTACACATAATAAACCATGATGATTACTTAAATGAATTGAATTTCTCGTGAGCCAATTATCATTTGGATGAGTGTGTGCCGATGTGGGTTGCACTATCTCTTTGTTATCCATGAAAGTGAACTCGGATCACATGAACAATGGAAAAAAGAAAAACAGAAAGATGAAGAAAATATTTTGTAAATTAAAAGATCACAAAATATTAAATAACGTATAAAAAATAAAATACAAATATTTATCAAAAAAATAAAAATAAAATAAAACATAATAAAATAATTAATAACTGTTAAGATAATAATATCTGAGATAATTGTTCTGAATAATCAAATAAATTAAACTAAATAGAATAATGTTTTTAATATAAAATTTAAAAAGATTTATCCCACCCTTCCACTGATGTCAATAGAAATGTCGCCACGTCATGCCGTATGTTGCCAGGTCATCTCCAGACAATTTATTGGTCCCGTAAATTGTCAGAAGGGATTCCCTAAAATATAACCCAAATAATTTTCTATACTTTGTCTTCCTTTTCAAGACTCCATCTTATATGTAAAGTATAATTCCTCCTTATTTTCTAAAAAGAATGAATATATTGAAAAAATTAAATAAAAAACGAATGATAAGTTTCGGATTTTATCTCCATTTTTTTTATTTTTGTAAAGGATAAATATTTCGGATTTTGTTTTCATTTAGGTTTGATAATTTTTAAATTCAATTTTTTGTTTATTTTAGATGTAAAATTTATTGATTTTTTAAATTCATTTAGATTTTTAGTTATTTTTAGATTCAATTAAAATATCTATTTCAATAAATGATATTGAGATGAGTCAATTTGGAGGATGGTTCTCTATCTTAAAGTTGTTTGGGTTTGATAAATGATAGAAAAATGGAAAATTTTGATTTTTTTTTAATTTAAACACATGGTCTTTTTGTTCATTTGGAACTTTGAATTGGTTTTGGTTGTTTCTGGATTTGATTTTTTTTATTTAAGAAATATATGCGTTTTATGTATTGGACATTTGGATATCCATTTATATAACATTTCTGGCCTGACATATGTTAACGGTTGAGTTCCTACCAAAAAGAATTTAAGAAATATAAATATAAAATAACATTTTACTGCAATAATTCAGAAAAAAAAAAAAATGAAGGGAAAAAACGAACAAAAGCATTGAAAGCAGCGTTTCACAACGGTCTATAAGAGACGAAACACATAAATTTTTGGCCGATATTTCGGCAACGGCGTTTTCGGATAGCTCCTGTCCTCTCCCCATCTTCTCACGCGCCACCGTTGTATTCTCACGCGCCGCCGCAATCCGAAACATCAATCTCCCTTTCATCTTCCTCCTTTTCAACTTTGTCCCGCTTATCTTTTCTCCATCCACTTTTCCTTTTACCAAACAATTTATCGCTCTCTTTATCGTTCTGTCGTTTTCTTCTCTTTTTTCTTCGCAAAGATCTCTTGAAGACCCGAAGGAGAAAATCTAGGGTTTCTGGGTTTTTGATCGAAAAGAAAGGGGTTAATTTATGAAAAACGGAGGTGGTGGTGTGTGATGAGAAGAGGACCATCATTGCCGTTGCCGTCTCTATCATCGTCTCCGTATCCGTTGCCATCGTCATCGTCATCGTCATGGGAGGGGTCACTTCGTCGATCGCCGCGAAATTTGCCTTTTTCCCGCCAACTCCGCCGTCGTACGGTGTGGTAGCTGATGAGAGCTGCGGCGGCCGCCCCTTCCTACCTGA